GTTAACAGTATTTATTAAATATGTTCTTAAAGAATAGATCAATAAAACTTATTATTGTATTAAGTATTATTGTATTAAGTATTATTATTACTTATTGTATTACTTATTATTATTGTATTAAGTATTATTGTATTAAGTAACTTATATTTGTTTATTTTTGAAAATAGACTTGATTTTTGGAAGCACTTTTAGGTTCACAGCAAAATTCAAAGGACATCTTAAAGGTTTCCCATCTGCCCCCCCCTTTCCCCATGCTCCCCCACTGTCACCATCCCCCACCAAAGTGGTTCCTTGGTTTCAATAATTATTGAACCTATCACTATACATCACTAGTGCCCAAATTCCATAGTTTCCATTAGGGCTGACTCTCTGACTTTTTATTTTTTAAAGAAGCTTTCTCTTAAAAAAAAAAAAAAGTTACAGTAAATAGAATGAGGGCTCTATAATGTTACCTCTTTTGTAAAACAGGAAAATCTAAAGTATCTAAACATGTGACCTTTCTATGAGCATGTGGCATTTAGTTCTAGGTTTTATAATGTATGTGTGACAAAATGAATATGATGGGGACCCAGAGAGCCACATGGGGAAAGTTGGAAAGGTTCTAGGAACCGGACTATTTAACAGAAAAGAGTTGCTTAGCGTGAATTTCACATCAAGTCCACTTTATAATGGATATTTAAATCCCTACTCCAATTACAAAACAGAAGTATTCCTATTGGGCATAAAATATAGCAGGGAGCTTAGTTATGTGTGAGGAGGAGCTCTACGCCTATGGTTAAAAGATGGAATTTTGACATAGGTGCTATGGCTTCTTAGAGAGCTTAAAAGTAGTGGATAAATTCATAGACTATGAAAATGTCGAAATGAAAGAGACTAAGAGATCTTCTTCTCTTATCCTACTGTTACAGGTTAGTGTCAAGCAGATTGTTTACCTGGGATAATTTAGGTGTAGCCTCTCCTAAAGGTAAGAGGTATCTTAAATGAGTGCCTGAAAGTCCTTTCCAGAAGCACAGCTCTATGGCTTTGCAAGTTCTGGGTGAAAATCTCATGAACTTTTAATGTAGGTAGATGATGTGTGTGTTAGGGATGAAAAGAAAATGTGTTTCTACCTCTGAGGGCATTTAGTGTCCAAGTGCGCTGATATTTTTTAACATAAGCTAGATTAGTGTATTAAAATAAGCACAATGGCTGTGGGACTTCAGACAGAAAAGGTTACCTGTGATGTTAAGGATCAGAGAAGTCCACAGAAGGAGGCAGCATCATTTAAATTCAGCAGTGATTAGGTATGAGCATGTTTACTACCTGCACGGAGGATTATCTTCTTTTTAACTTTTGATTATGAAAACTTTTAGGTGTATAGAAAACCTAAAAGAACAGTACAGTGAGTATCTGTATACTCAGTTAGATTCAATAACTTAACATTTTGTATAGTTGTTTTAACTCTGAATTTATAGATGTGCTTATGTGTGTATGGTGTATGTGTTGGTTTTTCTTTTTTCTTTCTTTTTTTTTTNTTTTGAGACGGAGTTTTTGCTCTGTTGTCCAAGCTAGAGTGCAATGGCACCATCTCGGCTCACTGCAACCTCTGCCTCCTGGGTTCAAGAGATTTCCCTGCTTCAGAGTAGCTGGAATTACAGGCATGCGCCACCACACCCAACTAATTTCTGTATTTTTATTAGAGATGGGGTTTCAACATGTTGGCCAGGCTGGTCTCGAACTCTTGACCTCAGGTGATCCACCTGCCTCAGCCTCCTAAAATGCTGAGGATTACAGCCCAGCTGTATGTGTTAGTTTTTCAAAAAACCTTTTAGAAAGTAAGTTACAGGGATCATGCCATTTTTACCCCTGATACATCCACTGGCATCTCTTAACACAATTCTACTATCTCTTCTCCTACATAACCACAATTCTATCAAAATCTGAAGAAAATTAATGAGATAACATTAATATCACCTAATTTCTGTTTCCTATTTCAAACTTCCCTAATGATCTGTATCTTCTACAGCTTTTTTTTTTTTTTTCAAGCTTGGATTTAATCAGGGTCAACACACAGCATTTTGTTTTAATAATTCCTAAACCTCTTTTACTCTGCAGCAGCCTGTACTGCCTCCCCCTCCCCATGCTCAATTTTTGTTTCATGACATTGACTTTTAAAAGGATCAGACCAGTTTTCTTATAACATATATTGATACCATATCTTGCAAGTATTTTTGTCAACTGAAGATTTTTAAAGTCTTTTAGAAATCAAAATATGTATTTTCTAAGAGCTATATTTCCAGATTATCTGCTAGCCCTGAAAGCCATTATCCTTGATACACCATTTTCAGTAGATAATGTACTTTAAAATAATCTTTATTTGCAAAAATGATAAAAGGCAGTTGTAAGATGCTAGAAGAATTTAGAAACATATAAGTTTAGAATTCTATTTAACATCAGGTAGCTCTGAGATGAAAATTTGGCCAAACTTAACGTTCTTTCCTGTTCGTGTGTTTTTGTATTTCATAAAATTGCGATCATCGCAATTAAAACAACTTTAAACACGTTGTTTAAAGTTTGCTTTTTATTTTCCTAGTTATGCATTGCAAATGATGTTCCATGGAATATGTAGTAGAGATTGTTTTTGCTGAGATAAATGCGTACCAAGCCAGCCACATTCTTTCCTAGGTGTTTACAGTGAGACACACACCCGAATGTAAAGTGCCTGGCTCAGGATTAAAAATGTGGCTTGTGCCCACAAAGCAAATATTTTTCTGTTTGAGGCTCTCTGGTTAATGCAGGAATTGGATCTTGGCCTCTTCTGATCTGTACTTTAATAAGTTGAGGGGAATTCATGAGTAGTAAACACCTAAGGGCTCTATATTTGAATATTTGAATTTTGGCTCCCCCCCCCCCACTGTTTTTCTTGCGGTGGGGGTGGGAGGGTCATTTCATATTCTTTTCTGTACCTATCAAAAGATCAGATTGGCTTACCTTAGAGGCAAACATGATACTCTGCCAACCTAAAGTGATGTAGAAACGTTAATCTATTTTACCAAGCCAGAGCTTCTGGCATATGCATTTTAAGCCATCATAAAACATATACCTGTCATGTTAAGGAATGTGCCCAAGGCAAGTATCAAAAGACCTGCTCTGGGAGGCTGGGGAGTATGCTTTGCTGTGTTGTAGGGTTATACCCTGACAGCCTCCGTGAGGCATGAGTACCGGCAGGGAGTGGTTTATAAATATTGAAGCCATTTTATTTATTAACTTAAGAATTCCTACAAGTAGTAGCTCTTCCTGTTTGTATATCCAAGTGTCTTGGGGCTTAGGGGGTAATTCTGTGTCAGCATATGGATGAAGAGTGTAAATCCTGAGTGGATCTGCCTGTTAGGGTATCAAGTTAACAATCAGATGAGCAAGAGATAGTCTGTTGAGCTTAATGGAGAACAGAACATTTGGACAGAAAAGATTTCTGGACATTTCTGGCTTCTTTGAAAGACAAGTTTAATGAGCCTCCCAGCAAGATTGCTGGCCCAGGATGGAACTTAGGTAAGGTTACTTTTGTTGTTATTTTATTCTGGTGTTGTCCATAGCAATAATGTCATCATTTTCATTTGGTGGGACATCAGGATGCCAGTAAGTCTTGTTACTATAATTGTAAGTTAAATTATCTGTAATTTGGTTAGAGGACTTTTGCATCAAGCATTTTGTAAAGGAACAAGATGATGGTAGGGTGGTTCCCCACATCTGTCTAAATATTTGTTGAAAAAAAGACAAAGAGTTGTAATTTTTAAGTGCTTTGAAGAATTCATGTCTTTCAATTAAAAAAAAAAAAAGTAGAAGTAGCTGGCTGGGTGCCATGGCTTATGCTTGTAATCCCAGCACTTTGGGAGGCCAAGGTGTGTGGATCGCCTGAGGTCAGGAGTTCAAGACTAGCCTGGCCAATATGTTGAAACCCCATCTCTACTAAACATACAAAAAATTAGCCTGGCGTGGTGGCAGTTGCCTGTGGAAGCTGAGGCAGGAGAATCGCTTGAAACCAGAAGGCGGAGGTTGCTGTGAGCAGAGATTGTACCACCGCACTCCAGTCTGGACGACGAGGCGAGACTTTGTCTCAAAAAAAAAAAGGAAGTAGCTGACTGTATTAAATGCATATTCCCACCATGTTTTATCATTCATTCTAAGTAAATAATAAAGTTAAAACATAAGACATGAAAATAAAAATAATGTTCATAAAAGTAAAGAGACAGTGTTGCAAAGAAAGAGGAGGAACAAGATCAAATTTTAAGTTCAGTGTGGCACTTAAGTCTTTAAACCTCACTTTTTTCATCTGTAAAATAGACACCATAGTGGTGTTCATGAGATTGGAATGAGATAATATATTTAGAAGTTTAAAAAACAAGATAACAGTGTTTAAGTTCTACTCCTAGTGGGTTTTTAAAAAATTTTATTTGATACAGAATCTTACACTGTTTCCCAAGCTGGGGTACAGTGGCACAATCATAGGTCACTGCAGCCTCGACCTTCCAGCCTCCCAGGTAGCTGGGACTACAGACACACACCATCGTGCCTGTTGCCCAGGCTGGTCTTGGACTCCTGGGCTTAAGTAACCTTCTCACCTTAGCCTCCCAAAATGCTGGGATTGCAGGCATGAGCCACCATGCCCAGCCTCCTAGCATTTTCTTGAGTGGACACTATTGCATAGTGAAAACAGCATGTGAACTGAAGTTGCGTAGACACTGGTTTAAATTCTGGCTTTGCCATTTACACCATGAATGAGTTCTCTAATCTCTTTGGACCTTCGTTTCTTCAACTATAAAGTGGCTTTTATGATATCACCCTTCTAAGATGGCATAGGGCACGGGCTCTGCCAGGACACATAGGAGCTCCAGAGCTTGCAGCTTGTCAAATCTGGATGTTGATCAGTTGGGGGACGAGTGTGTGCTTCTCTGTGTGTGGAATTCGGTACCATCGACAGATCCCTTCCAGAGCATGACCATGGTGTTTCTTTTCACCTGCAGCTATCTTCCAGAGGGCCGCACTGGGCATGGACACCCTTTTCCCTACCTGGAGGAGCACAGGTGATAGTGTAATTTTCCAGTCACGAAACTGCTAAGGCCATCTCAGGGGCGTGTGCGCCAGGATAGGAGGGCGGCACCCGAGGACCACGTAGCCATGCCTTTTGGTCTGAAGCTCCGCCGGACACGGCGCTACAACGTCCTAAGCAAGAACTGCTTTGTTACACGGATTCGCCTGCTGGACAGCAATGTTATCGAGTGCACGCTGTCAGTGGAAAGCACAGGGCAAGAATGCCTGGAGGCTGTGGCCCAGAGGCTGGAGCTGCGAGAGGTAAGAGGGGTGTGTGTACACGCGCGTGCATGCGTGTTGGGTGTGCGAAGGAGAACTCGGCAAAGGGACCAGCCATCTGCTTCTTGGCATCTGTCATGTTTTTTGACCTAAGCGACCATGTGTTTATAAGAATCCTGTTATTCTTAGCACGGGTGTGATCTTATCTACCAGTGGTTGGGGAGACTTGTACTGATGTGAACACCGCCTAGAGCTGCATGGCGTGGCAGGCTCTTATTTCAGCTGGCGAGGAGGTTTGAGGGAAGTTGAAAATGAGAGACTCTCCCCACCGGAGTCATTTTCTCTCTTTAAAACAATTGAGTGGGTAGCTAGTATTTTGGCATTCTGGCTGCACATCAAGGAGAAAGACACCCACATACAGATGCATGCAGCTGCTTTTTTTTTTTTTTTGGGTTGTTTCTATATTTTCCTCTTAAAAAAATAATAAAGAGAAAAAACATTTAGAGTGAGCATGACCAGTGAGGCTTTTTGTGGGAGCCTGTAAAACGGGGGTTTTGTTCCTTTTTTAAGAATCCTCGCAGCTCTCTGCGTCGTCTGTGAGATGGCTTTTAAGCAGACGCAGGGCTGACCACTTAGACAGTCATGCTATCACTCTTTACAAGGGACTCTCAGAACAGTATGCTGTTTATGACAGCCAAGCCCTTCATTTTTCAGTCACGCAGACATTCAGGACAAGAGACTTTTGTGAGCAATCTCCACTTCAGCATGTGTCTTGAGAGCCGTCTGACATATTGACCAGTGGAGACGGTGGTACCGTTTAGTGGTTGCCAGTGCAGAATGACTGCAAGCCCTAAGGCTCAGACACTCCTGAGGGCAAGGAAAAGCTGTGTGTCATAGTCCTAGGTACTGGGGTTCTTGGAGAGTCCATGTGACAGCACTGCCCAGCACCTCAATGACAGAAGAGGGATGGCAATCACTGTTGGAAGTGATTTCATGTGGCCTCTCTCCACCTGCTTACAAAGGAATTGGGGCTCGGGAGGGTCTCCCTCTCCCCTTGACGTCTTCCACAGGCTGGCTGTGACTGTTTTTCTCTGGGAAACTGTTTCACCCAAAATGTATCTGTTTCCTGCTGTTCTTGTGTTTATACTGTGGTTTCAGTGAGCAGGTATTCCTAAGTTTTTTCTGTTTTTCTGTGAAGGAGGCTGTCTTGGTAACTGCCACAATAGGATAAATGTGTGAAATGTTCTCATCTTGTTGATTGGAAGCTGGCTCTCTTTTTCTCATTGGCGACACATTAGGGTACACACATTTAAACACACATGTGCGTAAGTGCATGGGCATAAAGAGAAAACTTTAATACTGTAGATTGGCTGGGCAAGAGACTTGTCTAAGTTTTTATAGAAAATTTAATTGTACACTACTTACAAAGATTTGCAGTGTTTTTACTTTTAAGTACTTCTGGTCACTCAAATTAGAGCAACTAATTATTCCTCGTATGCATTGGGACAGTGTAGCATGTTGTCATGTAGTTACAAGTATAGGCATTGGAGTCATGGCCTTTGGTTCAGCTTACAGTTCTGTCATTTATTATTTGGGTGACAATGGAAAAGCTACTGAATCTTTTGGGGGATAAATGTCTCACCTATAAAATGGGAATAATAATGCTTACTTCATAGGGCTATTGTAAATATTAAAACAGTTCCTGTATGGAAAATGTGTAGTGCTATGTCTAATGATTTATAATTGTTCAAATTTGAGAGTCTTAACCACTTGAAAAAAAACCAACTTTTTTTGTGAAAGAAAATATTGAACAACTGTCTTGTGCCAAGCACAGTTTTAGAACTTGGTGAAATGAAGATAAACAAGGTACAGTTTTACTTCCAAGACATGTAGAACAGTAGGGGAGTCAAGCCTTTAAATGAACAGTTAAGGTTGAATGTGGTCCGAGCTAAAATAGAGTGCAGGGGTAGGCCTGAAAGACGATGGCTATTCTTAGTGTTGTGCAGTGCACTTCCAGCCCACTGAACACTGCAGTCTTGCTGGTGAGAGAGAAAGAGTTGATGGAAGATGAACAAAGCCTTCAGTCTGAACCAAGACTTGAAGGGTATGTACGAGTCCAGCAGGTAGAAAAGAAGGCCATGTCAAAAAAAAAAGGAAAAGAAAAGAGGGCCGTGTCATCTGTAGTGTGGGGAACTGGATTATCAAAGATTCAAGGATGTGAAAGAGCAGCCACCGTTCTTGGGGCTGAGAAGGGATCCCTCCAAATGACCGGGTCGAGCTAGAGTTCATAATGAATGGCGAGGGGTGTCTGGAGATGTGTATGGTAATAATGGCTCTCAACAGACTATTGTTTTTCTCAGCGAAAAGGCAAAAGTCAACCCTGGATCATCCCACAGCTACCTTGTGGCAAAGAGTGAAGCAGTGCAGTGCCAAGTGTGTGCCATAGTGTGATTGACATTCCGTTGCTGAGGTGGGGTTTGCCTTTAATGCTGACTTTATTTTGACATGCCCTGATGGGTGCATCCACATTTGACCACGTCATGTTCTTTTTAAATTTTATGCTTTCGTTCTATGACAGATAACATTGAAGTTGTGCCCTTTTGAGAATCAATCCTCTAGATACCCCTGAATTGAAGGATGCAACAGAGTAATCTGATACTTTGTTCTTCCTCAGCACAAACACACCTTAAGGAAAAATGCACCCCCCCACCCAAAAGCAGAAGAACGAGGAAGTGAACACAGGGTCTGCTCCTCATACCTTGGATTTATATTTGGATTAGTTTTCAAATAGAGCCGATACTGGTTTAGAGGAGAAGGTGACAACCAATCTGAGATACAACAAAAAGTTTAGTCTTTTTTCGAAAGGGGTGTTGGGACCTAACTCTGCTGCACAAGATGGAGTGCAGTGGCATGATCATGGCTCGTTCAGCCTCTACGTGCTACGCTCAAGTGATCTTCCTGCCTTGGGCTCCTTAAGTGCTGGGATTACAGGTGTGAGCCTCCCACCCAGCCAAAATATATTTAATCTTTTTTTTTTCCCCATTGAGACAGGATCTTGCTCTATTGCCCAGACAGGAGTGCAGTGATATGATCATGACTCACTACAGCCTCAATTTCCTGGGCTCAAGTGATCCTCCCACCTCAGCCTCCCAAGTAGCTGAGACTTTAGGCACATGCTACCATGCCCAGCAAATTTATACACTTTTTGTAGAGATGGGATCTCACTCTGTTGCCCAGGCTGATCTCAAACTCCTGGGCTCAAGCAATCCTCCCGCCTTAGCCTCCCAAAGTACTAGAATTATAGATGTGAGCCACTGTGCCCAGCTCAATATGTTTCATCTTTATGAAGACTTAGAAACTAAATTATGGTAGATATTTGGCTTTGCCATTACAAGTAGTTTAAGTATATCATAAATTTTGTAATAGCTTTATGTTAGGAAAGTATGTATGGTAGATTAAACTTTTTTTGATTGAATTTTTTATTTACATTAATTATTCGTTTTGCCACTAAATTTTATAATTTTTTAATAGACTTTATTTTTAAGACTTTGATTTCTTAGAGCAATTTTAGGTTTGCAGTAAAATTGAGAGGATGATACAGAGAAATTCCATATACCCCTGGCTCCATGCATGTACATCCTCCCACTGTCACCTTCACCCCCAGAGCGCCACATTTGTTATGATTGTTGGACCTACATTGGCACTTCATTATCACCCAGAGTCCAGAGTTTACCTTGGGGCTTACTTTTGGTGTTGTACATCTGTAGGTTTGGACAAATGTGACATGCTGCTATTTAACGTGGCATTCAGAAGGACCCAGGCCTGGTTCTTATTGTCAGCAAACAGCCATTCTCTGGGAAGGTTGAATGTGATGGAGTCTCTGCTCTCAGAAACCAGACAGGGTCTTTGTTCCTACCGTTTAGAGAACAGGACAAACAAGAAACAAGCAAAGAGAATAGCTGGTGCTGAGGCACAGAAACAGGAAAGAACATGGAATTTTCAGGGAAAGGCTGAGTTCAGTTTGCACTGATTGTGTGTGTGTGTGTGTGTGTGTGTGTGTGTGTGTGTGTGTGTGTGACAGAGAGAGAGAGAGAGAGAGAGAGAGAGAGAGAGAGAAAGGGGTCATGGAAGGGAAGGAGAGTAAAGGAGGGAGAGGCAGGACCGAGTCTGCCTTTGAACGGTTTGTTCTGTCTCCCTAGGGAGTTTTAACTAGATCTATAGGATAGTATTTCTAAAATAAGTTACAAACGATAATTACTACCTTTTGATGTATATACTGTGCTGAATAGTTTCCATATATCAGCTCATGTAGTTCTCATAAGAAGTCTGTGACGTGTTCCTACTCTTGCTGTTCCTGTCTTACAGATGGGGAGGCCACAGCTTAGGGTGACCTGCCCATAGTCATTGGGTTGGCAAGTTGTGAGGCCGGTTCAAACTCTGGCAGGCTGACACCCCTGTTCCAATTCCCAGAGCTGTGTAGTGGGGGAACAGGGAGTGTGGTAAAATGCATTGGGAAACTCTCTCCTCAATTCTATAGTAAAAGAAAGAAAATGGTGTTCCAGTAAGTGTTTCACAGTTATCTTAGCTTTCTAGAAAATACACTTTTGAACTATTTGGGGAATAAAATAGTGCTGTGAAGTATAAGGTCATCAAAGGACTCCAAGGAGGAGCATGACATGGTTACCTTGCATGTTAGGTGAAGAACTCAGTAGTAGAAAAGAGTGGGGATCAGCTGGGCGCGGTGGCTCATGCCCATGGTCCCAGCGCTTTGGGAGGCTGAGGCGGGCAGATCCCCTAAGGTCAGGAGTACGAGACCAGCCTGGCCGACATGGTGAAACCCCGTCTCTACTGAAAATACAAAAGTTAGCTGGGTGTGGTGGCACACGACTGTAATCTCAGCTGCACAGGAGGTTGAGGCAGGAGAATCGCATGAATCTGGGAGGTGGAGGTTGCAGTGAGGTGAGACTGAGGTCCTGCCACTGCACTCCAGCCTGGGCGACAGAGTGAGACTCTGTCACAAAAAATAAGCGGAAAAGAGCGAG